TTCACGTTAAATACTAAGGAGATTTATTGTTTGCATTTTTTTTTCCTAAGCACTACATAGGTAGGGAAGGGGACTGATTTGTTTTCAGTTTTACCTAGAAGTTCAACCCAAGACTTATTCGAGCTTTTATTTTGTGTTTTGGGAGTGATCATTGTCCAAGGCTTTTACCTGTTGAACCTGTAACCTAGTTGCTTTTTAAATTGTTTTTTAGGGTGGATTTTGTTATTCTATCATACATTTCTGCTATATTATGATAATTGTGGTTATTGTTTGGATGAAAAAAAGTTTAGGTTCTAGAGAGCAATAGTGTCAGAGTTCTACATGTAGATAGACAGAGCTTAACAAAAAGGAGTAAGTGCCATTTGAAAACGCACCTTTCTAAGGAAGCTTTTTATTAATTTTTATCACGAAAATTACTAGTATCTTAACATCTATTGTATATTTTAATTTTATCATAGTATATTTTAAATAATTATTAGTTAGATACCCTGTATTAAATTAGGGAAGCTTTTTATTCATTTTTATCACGATAATTACTAGTATCTTAACATATGTTGTATATTTTAATTTTATCATAGTATATTTTAAATAATTATTAGTTAGATACCCTGTATTAAATTGCTATAGATAGAAATCATGTAATGCGCGCTTGATCATTTCGTGGAAAGCACGCAATATAAGAGTTAAATTATTATTATTATTATTATTATTATTATTATTATTAAAAATACGGGCAAGTTTTGTAAATATAGACTAAATAGAGATTAACAGCCGGAAATTATTTAGTTTTGGTAGTAGGAAAAACTAACCTTCAGGGGTACTGCTCGTCACAGATGAACTTTCATCACCATCTGTCCCTTCGCCTTTCTCACCAGTTAACAGACTCGACTCAGACTGGAATCGGCTTCAAAAGATTGATAAGCTAGCATGTTCACCAATTTTTTTTCAGCCCGCTTGCGTCGTGATTTCTCTGCTTCAGCCAAAATGTGCAAGCGCTTTTCTTGGGAGGTGGTCCAAGGTTTTTGAAAGAAATTAATTTAAACGTCAGATAAACTGCGTGGTCTCTGTTGAACTTTATCAAAAGTTTGATCAACTGTGAAAAATAATTGAATAAGTACATTATTAAAATTCCACAGATAAATTCGCCAAAAAATACTGTAGTATAAAAGTTAATCTGGCCACATTTAAATCATGTTTCTTTTTTTACAATTAAAGTTGTAGATGGAAAGATGCAAAATACTAGCAATAAAAAGCACACTGTAGGTAAAAAAATGCTAAGAGAAATTTCCCAAGAGGTTTTTCAAGATCCAAGTGATGTGAATTTCATTTTTCTTTTCTTATTAATTTACTTTTTTTTCGTTTTTGAAATTCCTAGGTGGGGCTTTTTGAGAGCCTGATTGAGCTGTGGCAGATCTATGGGGGGGGGGGCCTGGCTCCCCCTCATATTGGGTAAAAAAGAAAAAGGATTGCAGACGGAAAAAAAGCTGGCAGGGCAAGGAACAAAATACCACCCCCACCCCCTCCCCCCCACCCTTGCGAACTGAATTCCCAGTTTTCTGGGAATTCCTAATTCCAAGGAATTCTCAAAAATTCCCAATTATGCAAATAACCCTTGCCAACTGAATTCCCAGTTTTCCAACTATGCAAATAAGCTCTGATTTGAAAAGCTTGGAATTTGGGAATTTCTGGAAAAGGAAAACTCCAGTTCTGTGAGGACTTGGAATTCCTAGGAATTCTCACCTATGCAAACTACCTATAATTTAAGAAGGGTGGAATTCTGGGGAATTTCTGGGATTTGAATTTGAGGCAATTTAAATACCCTGAGGTCCAAATTAATTCCAAGAAATTCTCAATACCTTGAATGTGAAGGTTTTAAGAAAAGGAGTAATTTTAGGCTTGAGGCTTCAAACTTTGGCTCAATAAAAAGTATGCTATACAAAATTTTTACCAAGAGATATACATACATGTATATGTTTATAACTTAATGATCACGAAATTTATTATTCAAACTAAGTTTTAGTAAATCTCTACATTAATATGGATTTTCTCATGAAGCAGCAGTCAATTATGTTAAATGCAAATTGCCAATTAATGCAATGTACTCATATTACAGATTTGCTTTCTAACCTCAAAGGACTCTTGCATTTATTTGCACTGCGGTGAAGAAACGAATTTAAGAGATCCTTGCAGCTAAGACCATTACTGAACTAGTAGTTGAAAATAGGACCTGAATTTTTTTTTCAGGTCCTATTTTACACCTTTTAAATTACTTCAATTTATTTTATTTGAAACTCTGATGGACAACAGGCAAGTGCAAATGCGGGAACGACTGACATGATTACACAGCTTAAACCTCCCGCTCAGTTAGACTTCGATGCGATAAACTTGGCTGACAGTTGGAAAAGATGGAAGCAAGAATTAGAATTGTACATGGATCTGGCAAAGAACTGCAGAGACGAAGCAACGAAAGTAACTTAAAAGTTATTTCTGTATTTAATCGGCAATCAAGGAAGAGAAATTTATGATTCGATGGCCTTCGAAATTCCCGCCTAGGAAAGAACCTTAACGTAGGTGTTAGAAGTGTTCGACGGGCATTGTAATCCCAGAAAAAATGAAACTGTTGTGGGGTTCAAGTTTTTCTCCCGTACTCAGGACCCGGGTGAATCACAAGAAAAGTCCGTTACAGATTTGAAGCCGTTGGCCGCGACCTGTAACTTCGGTGATCTTAAAGATTCGCTGGTGAGAGACCGGATCATTTGTGGAATCCAGGACCGGCAACTTCGAGAAGAACTTCTTAAGATCCCAGATCTTGATTTACAAAGATCCCTCAGCATTTGTAGAGCAGCCGAGTTGTCGAAAACACGGACCAAAACTTTGGAAGAGGGCGAAGCAGTAAACTCATTGAAGGACCAAACGAAGCGCGGCAAGGTATCAGCTTACAAAAGCCATGACAAGTCTGCGACCAAAAGGCGGGAAAATGATGATCGGAACGCGAGAGATACAAATTCTGAGGTGGAAAACATCGTGCTGCCAAGAAAAGTTGCCCAGCGTTCGGGAAGAGGTGTTCGGTTTGCGGAAGAATGAATCATTTCGCTTTTCAATGCCTTTCTAAAACGAGAGTGAACGTCATCGAATCAGAAAGTGAAAGCGAGATCGATGAATACTGCCTCACGCTCCACTCGGTGGATGAAAGTTAAGTAGTTAGGGTTCATGTAGCAAGCGATCTGGAATATGCTAAAAATTTGTTTGCTACAATTAGCGTCGAAAACACACTAGTTAAGTTTCAACTGGGTAGTGGCGCAACATGCAATTTGATTCCCGCAAAGTTTCTTAGCCGAACTGTTTCCCACGCGGAAATTACTCACAATGTATAACAACACCATCATGAAACCTCTTGGAACGTGCACTGTAGCTGTATTTAACCCCAAGAATTCCAAAACGTATCAGATCGAATTTGTTGTTGTGGACGATGACCAGTCAACACCGATTTTAGGAAATCCAGCGATGCAGCAGATGGATTTGGTCAGGGTGCAACACCAAAATGTTATGACCGTCAATACAGAGGTTCAGCGCGGTAGTCAGGGTCCTCTTTCGATGGAAGAGGTCTTAAAGGAGTACCCAGATGTGTTTCAAGGCACTGGAAAATTGAAGGGGCAGTACAAGCTGGAAATTGAAGAGAATGCTAAGCCAGTGGTCCATCCTCCCAGACGAGTACCGGTCGCGCTCAAGGGAAAGCTGAAACGAGAGTTGGAACGGTTGCAGAGTCTCGGGATCACAGAAAAAGTCATAGAGCCTACCCCTTGGGTTTCGAGCTTCGTTATCGTGCAAAAACCTAATGGACAGATTCGTGTTTGCTTGGACCTTAAGGACCTCAACAAAGTGCTTAGGAGGAGCCACTACCCAACCTCGACAGTTGAAGACATTCTACCTGAGCTTTCCAGGGCTAAAGTGTTCTCCACTATGACGCAATGAACTGTTTGTGGAACGTTGAACTTGGCGATGACAGTTCACGCTTAACAACATTCAATTCTCCCTTTAGAAGATTTTGCTGGCGTCGCCTGCCCTTTGGTCTTTGTTCGGCCCCGGAGGAGTTTCAACGAAGGCTTAACCACGCACTTGACGGCCTGACGGATGTATTAACCATTCATGATGATATCTTGAGTTTTGGCGAGGGGTCTGCAGTGGAAGAAGCACTGACAGATCATGACAACAATTTCCACTCCTTAATGCGGAGGTGCCGGGAGTAGAACATTAAGTTGAACCAGGACAAGGTGAATCTGCGACGCAAAGAAGTCCCATTTATGGGTCATGTGATATCAGAGAAGGGTCTTCAAGCAGATCCCGCAAAAGTTAAGGCGGTGTTGAAAATGCTCACGTCAACTGACGTGGCCAGTGTACGAAGATTTATTGGATTCACAAATGCATGTGCAAGTTCTTGCCTCGACTAAGTGATGCATTGGAGCCACTCTGTAAGCTCAGTTCACCAGATGTAGAATGGTTCTGGACTGACATACATGACAGTGCTGTCCGACAAGTGGAGCTGCTGGTCACAAAGGCACCTGTCCTCAAATTTTTCGACTCAACAGAGAGCCTCACCTTAAAGTGCGATGCATCAGATAAAGGACTGGGTGCCATCCTACTTCAGAAGGGTCAGCCGATTGCCTGTGCGAGCCGTGCGTTAACCGATGCAGAGTCTCGGTACGCCCAGATTGAGAAGGAGCTTTTGGCTGTTGTTTACGATTTGGAAAGGTTTCATACTTACACTTACGGTAAAAGAAGTGTTTGTGGAATCAGACCACAAGCCTCTGGAAGTTATTTTCAAGAAGCCACTGCATCGAACTCCGAAGAGGCTTCAGCGCATGCTCATGCGAGTCCAGTTGTACGACGTCAGCCTTGGCTACAAGAAGGGCTCCACCATGTATCTGGCCAACACCCTAAGTCGGGCTTATTAACCCTACGATGGAAGCCAGGATGTCGCTTTAAAGATTAAGAGCATCAACATGACGCAGCACATCGGTTTGAAGCCGAGTACGCTTCAAGAAATTCCAGACTACACGCAGAAGGATAACAGCCTTCTAGAACTGATTAAAGTCATCAAGGCTGGTTGGCCTGAAACTAAAGGAGAGCTATCTCATCTGGTGTTGCCCTTCTTTGACATTCGTGATGAGTTGAGCGCCTGCGATGGCATTGTCATTAGAGGAGAAAGAGTAGTGGTCCCAAAGTCGCTGCGTCGAGACATGTTTTATCGTCTGCATTATGCTCATAGTGGAGTTGTAAGCACCCTTTTGCTCGCTAGAGCAAGTATATACTGGCCAGGAATGAGCGCTGAAATCAAGCAGTTTATTGAAATGTGTGATGTCTGCAGGGCGTTTGACCGGAAGCAGCCTAAGGAGACTCTCATTCCTCATGAAGTGCCCGGCCGGCCATTGTCGAAAGTTTGGGTTAACGTGTTCACTTACAGGGGTCGAAACTGTCTCATTTGTGTTGATTACTATTCTTCTTTCTGGGAAATCGATTCCCTTGACAAAACTACTTCGGGGGCGGTAGTACAGAAGTTAAAGTCGCACTTTGCAAGGAATGGAATCCTGGAGACGTGTGTACCTGACAACGGTCCTCAGTTTACCTCGACTGAATTTAAGGAATTTAGTCGCCAGCGGAACTTTGTGCATGTAAGTTCGCCAGCTTATCCGCAAAGCCACGGAAAGGTAGAAGCAGCTGTTAACTCCGCTAAAAATGAGGAAGTCAAGAAAAGCCAGAACAGATCCGTACCTCGCTCTCCTCGAATACAGAAACACGCCTAGTCAGGGATTGGGCACCAGTCCAGTGCAGCGATTGATGTCAAGGCGCACAAGAGCACAACTACCCATCTTTCCTAAGCTTCTCTGGCCAGTTGTCGGGCTCAAGATCTATCGGAAACTTCTCGCCAAGAAAGAACGACAAGTCCTTGCTTACAATAGGGGGGCTAAGGATCTGGGAGCACTCAGAAGTGGAGACACATTGCGACTCGTGCCGCCTGGAAATCCGAGTAAAGAAGCGGTGAAAGCAAAGGTTGAAAGGTGTGTTGGAACTCAGTCCTTCGAGGTGGCTACCGAAGATGGAGCCAGATATCGTCGAAATCGCCGTCACCTGAGGAAAACAAAGGAGGCCTGCCGGAATTCAAGACCTGCTTTGGTGGCTGAAGAAGGCGTTGAGCAATCGGATCAACAGTCGACATCCTTACCTGAACAAGCACAGACAGGTCATGAGCTCTCCGCGCCGTGTAAGTGGACAACCGTACCCAGTGGTCGAGTGGATACGACCAATGGGCATGCGATGGCATCTCGGCAACCGAAGCCACTTGCTCAGCCTAGTGGGTTACCTGTGCGAGGCCCACAAACTTTGAACAGTTGAACTCACTTACGTTGTTTGTTTTGTTTTTTTTTGTTTATCTTGGTTTTTTTTTTTTTTTTAATAAGGAAAAGGACGTAACAATAGGCACTGTTTAGTAGTGGCCTCGTTAGAGTTTTTAAACTAAAAGGACGACTGTTTGTAATAACAAGGCAGGCTATCTCGCCGAAACCACCAAAAATACAAACCGCAAATGGAACAGCGATCTACTGGAGGCATGACGTCATCGAATGTAAAGATTGGCGCGAAACCACCACATGGTGTGGTCGCTGTGTTGGAGAGTCTCTCGCCTTGGCGTAGAGCAGAGGCAATTCATGACATCCTTGACGTGTGTTGACATTGTTCTATCAAAGTGATATCGGAATTCTTTAATTGGTGTGCCAAAAATAGTGTTTGCAATTAAAGTAAAACAAAGTCGCGTGAAATAATTTCGACAATTTCTAACTCTAAAATTTTATCACTGTGACTGGATTGAGAAATAAAGCAATTTAAGAGGAAGAATGGACTCCTATGTTGCAGGAGTAAGGTAAAGATTGGAAAACCTGAACAACAGCTGTGTAGAGTGATTATTCTGCCGTTGGACTGTAGGGGTATTTTAGCTCGAACACTAATCGCAAACTGAAGGCACCAGAGGTCTAAAATCGTGTGTGGTAGTGACATTTCTCCTTCATACTCAGAGCCGTCATAAAGATAGATATGTTGTTGGACTTTTCTTCCTATCCTCGTGACCAGTTTGAGCTTACACAAGTGATTCACGTGAGAATGCATTGGACTGTGGAGACTAAAGGTCCTGAAGGTGCACTCATACGTGTAGTGCTGGTGATTATGCTCGCCTTTTTGCTGATTTTGTCTCTTAAAAAGCGGCCATTGAATTCGCTTTTTAAAAAAGAAGCCACAATCGTTCTTATTAGTCTGCATTTTTTTAGTGACCGAATAAATGTTCACAATTTATTTAAATTGTGAACATTTATTCATTTGTTCTGAATTGTTTCTATCATTAGCATATAACGACCGGGTTATACTTGACGAGCCACATTTCGTTAATTAAGCAATCAGTTTGTTGCTATTAGATTTTCTACAGTTGCGAAGAGTTGTTCATTCCAAAAGAAATACACACGCTTGGAAATTATTGCTCGAAATTGGGCCAACTTTCAATTTGGCCGCGCGTGACCTGGGGTAAAGTTTTCCAAAATCCAAGATGGCGGATAGCTCTGAACCCACCGAAGAGGAACTAATATTTTCAATAAAAGAAGCCCTTAAGCATAGCAAGTCAGAATTTGAGCGAAGAATTTCGAATGGGCATAAATTGAGGGATCTAGATATCACATTCAACCGGCTAAACAAGGTTGCTGAATTAGCTGTGAAAGGAAACTTTGGAGCAATTCGAGAGCGACCTAAATAAAAACTTGGCGAACTGTATCCAATGCTACAGCGTTGCATGATTCGGGCGAAATGTGCCATTGATCGCCGGATATCACCAAGGATGAGTAAAGTGCACCCGTGGATGGTCATTTTTTATCTCCCTATGGCACAGGAGGTTTTTAACATTTTACATAAGGACGTTCTTGGTCCAACAAGGTATGGTTTAGAGGGCTTATACTATTTTGCGAAACGAAACGAAACGAAACGAAACGAAATCGGGTCAGATGAAATAAAACAAAAGGAATAATGCAGATATATTTTCTAATAAGGTAAAGATAACTTTCACAAGGATTTGGGAGTAATCGTTCATTAACAAGAAGGATTTTTATTCATTTCGCAAAATAGTAATTTTAGGAGAGTTACTATTTTGCGAAATGGACTATTTTCACCCTGCGGTGACAACGTGACCTCTTTCATGTCGCGAAAATACATTTAAACATTACAAATTAGTATATCAACGAACATTTTGGCCTCCTCTTATTTCTTAAACCGTATTAAAATATATTTCGCAAAATAGTAATTTTAGGAGAGTTACTATTTTGCGAAATGGACCATTTTCACCCCTGCGGTGACAACGTGACCTCTTTCATGTCACGAGAATACATTTAAACATTACAAATTAGTATATCACCGAACATTTTGGCCTCCTCTTATTTCTTAAACCGTATTAAAATATATTTCGCAAAATAGTAATTTTAGGAGAGTTACTATTTTGCGAAATGGACTATTTTCACCCTGCGATGACAACGTGACCTCTTTCATGTCACCAAAATACATTTAAACATTACAAATTAGTATATCACCGAACATTTTGGCCTCCTCTCATTTCTTAAACCGTATTAAAATATATTTCGCAAAATAGTAATTTTAGGAGAGTTACTATTTTGCGAAATGGACTATTTTCACCTCTGCGGTGACAACGTGACCTCTTTCATGTCACCAAAATACATTTAAACATTACAAATTAGTATATCACCGAACATCTTGGCCCCCTCTTATTTCTTAAACCGTTTTAAAATTTATTTCGCAAAATAGTAATTTTAGGAGAGTTACTATTTTGCGAAATGGACAATTTTTACCCTCAATAACTTTCTTTTCGGGTCACAAAAATACGCTTAAACATTTCATTATAGTATATTCTCGAAGAATTCGGTCACCTCCTCTTTCTCTATCCAGATATAATTAATTTCTCAAAGTAGTAATGTCAGAAAAATTACTGTTTTGCGGAATAGCTAGGCTATTTTCACTCAGCGATAACGATCTTGTTATTCTCGTGTCATACAAAAGGTTTTCGGTAAGTTTCAATTTAAAGCACTATCAAATCTCAAAAGGTCTAAGCTATCTTCACCTATATAAACGTCTTCTAAGTTTATTTCGCGAGGCAGTAATTTTGGAAGAATTACTGTTTTGCAAAATGGACCATAAATGATTTAAATGCCGCCTGAGAAAACTGACTCGTGACAGATTGGGTTTACAGGTCTCACCTTTCCTTGTACGTAAGTGTTTTAATTAGCTGTGGTCTGTACTTCTTCACTGCCAAGCAACAAGGCGGTGTTTTCCTTTCCTCAGCTTCAAATGATTAAGTAAGAGCCAATTAATAACTCCATCTCAATTAACATGCAACAAGAGGTTTGGGCTAACAGGTTCATTTAATCAAAATCGACAACTGTGTAGTACCGTATTGCGTGACGCCGAAACCAAGTCAAGAGAGCCCCGCTGAAGGCCCAAACCGAGGTTGTGTTCAATTAATGACATGGGAGGGAGCGGAAAGTAAGAGGTAAAAGCCGTCTTTACTAGCGACGGAGCTATTCTAGGGGGAAGTTGAAAGACTCCATTTCGTGCGTTTTGAAGGGTGTGCACTGTTTCGGTGCAAAACCAACATGACAGTTTTCCAGTGGCGGCTAAACATGTTTAGACTCTCCGTCTCGTATAGAGAACAGAAGCATATCCATGCCGAAATAGTCGTCCAGCAGTTTTATAATCGCAAGTAATACAGTTACTTTGCTTCAAAATTTTTAATAAAAATAATATACATGGAAAAGTTACGCGCTTCTGATTACACCCCCGTCGCACACCTCTTCCTTACGAGCAAGAGATCGTGTTTCGCATTTGCGCAAGTTCCACGTGCTGCAAGAAGTTTGCTTTCTGCTCGCTTTGTGTGCTGCTAAATCAGGCAAGATTATGGCTTTTAAATTTCCTGTTCTTAAGCCCAAGACCATCGACTGTTCAGGTCTTCCAGTTCATGATCTCAAGTGTTTGACAAACAAGGAAATCATTAGTAAGGGCGCTTATGGTGCTGTGTTCACTGTTAACTGGCAGACTGTTCCTGATGCGGGTGGGAAATCGGCCGCTGCGGAGAAAGTCGTCGTTAAGAAATTGCTCGGCGAGGACATATTGGATAAGAAAACGTTTGTAAAGGAAGCAAGAATCATTCAAGAGTTGAAACATCCAAACATTGTGAAGTTCAAGGGAATCTGCAACAATCCCTTCGCCCTTATTCTCGAGTTCCCGCCCGCCGAGTGTAAATAATCCATTTCTCAAAATAAACATTTTTCGGAATTACTACATTCAATTAGTTTAGAAATTACTACATTAAAGAGGAGGTGACCAAGATCTTTGAGAATATACTATAATGTAATGTTTAAATGTATTTTCGTGACATGAAAGAGGTCACGCAAAATAGCAACTCTCCTAAAATTACTATTTTGCGAAATATATTTTAATACGGTTTAAGAAATGAGAGGAGGCCAAAATGTTCGGTAATATACTAATTTGTAATGTTTAAATGTATTTTCGTGACGTAAAAGATGTCACGTTGTCACCGCAGGGTGAAAATAGTCCATTTCGCAAAATAGTAACTCTCCTAAAATTACTATTTTGCGAAATACATTTTAATACGGTTTAAGAAATAACAGGAGGCCAAAATGTTTGGTGATATACTAATTTGTAATGCTTAAATGTATTCTCGTGACATGAAAGAGGTCACGTTGTC